AATTACTAGATTGCTATCTTCCACCCCATCATCAATGCATTTGTCAATTATATCTTTCATTTCATTTCCCAATTTCACGAGGTCACAATCTTCCAAAGTGACTTTGTTTTTATTTGAAAACATGTAATCAGCCGATTTTATTTCCGATGTAAGCAGATAAAATTTTTTACCTCTAATAGGTATATATATGGAAAAATCTGCTTTTCGACCTTGTAGCGAAGGGTCAAATTTACGTTTTCTATGTACAGATGCTTCCAGAATATCAGTTGACCTTAAAATAATTCAATAACATATTCTAAGTATTATAATTAATAATAATATATATATATATAAGCGTCAAAAATTACCATTCGCATTTAAAATTAATGTTACGGAAAAATGGCCTGATCACAGGCTCAAAAACTTCATGAACAAAGGAGTCTTCTTTTAAACCTTGTCTATACACTTCCGGTTTAAAATTATTTATGCTATAGATAGATTAATAGTTAATGTTATGTTAAATAAGTAAATATACAATTGTTTCACGTATTGCATATACTTACATTGACTCAAATGTTTCTAGGATTAAATCCTCTTGATTTTCACCAAGATCCTTTTGCCATTTTCTCAATAATAGCTTGCATTCTCCAAAATCATTGCTTGCAGACTATTTAATAAATATGTTATTATGAATAAACACTATATTAAGATCATGTCGAATAGTATACCTCTGCCATTTTGTGACACCGATAGACCTCATCATTCGATAAATAATAGAGATTAAATTCATTTTTTATCGTATCAAAAATGATTTTTAATGTTTCTGGTTCAATTATAGAAGAAAGCTCGCTTGTATTATTTCGTTCAAATAAAAAGATATAATTTAACGAACTATAACAAACATGAAAACATTTTAGCAAAGGAATACATTCAAATAAATAAAATAAATAACATAAACTTTGGAACTTACAGGATCTCGGCGGCAACTTCAACTTTATTCTTAGAAATTTTTTGAACTGATATGTCACGATACTCCAACAATATACTTGAAATATCGAGTGTGTCGACAATCCACTGCATATATAAGAAAAAATTAAATTTTTTCTAAATGGACCTAAACAGAAGTTCAAATGTTACCTTTTTGGCGTCAGCACTTAATGTGGATTTCATTATTCCTGGCCCCGTAAACCAATCACGAGTATATTGAATTCTTATCTCCTTGTTTTCACTAAAATTATCGTAGTCAGGCTCAACAAAAGTATCATCATCGAGATCGCCCAAACTTGGTTGATATGATCTATCTGAATTACTTTCGTCAAGTAATCCAGATGCTGCAAGGTCATTCAAATTGTCTCATTGGTTGCCTCTAATACAACAAACGGATTGTTTGGATCATCTCCTGCTCCTGCTCCCTATAAATAAATTTTATAAAGTTAAATAAACAAAAGATACTGTAATCGTAGATGCTTTACAATTGGTAATCGATTTGAGTAGATTTCCAATCCATTATCTGTTTACCCAGATAATTATTAGATAAAAAATTTTTAATAGATTTAAATATACGGTACTAACTTTTGCTATGCGTTTCGGTGAGCTGTTCTTTGCACATTCTAAAAGTCGTTTTGTTAAATGAGTAATGCGAGTGGTGGTTGCATTAACATACGTCCCCATCTGTTTGTTTACATTAGTGACTACAGTCAAGTCGTACTCATTCTATTTATAATAAGGAATTAATATTTATCAGTTTGGATATAAATATAATATGAATTAATTCATCTAGTTTACAAACCACATTGTTTCTAATTTTGGATTCAATTAGTTCTTCGTTTACTGATATCCAAAATTTATTTACACCCTCGGAGGACTTTTCATACTAAGTATTAAAAAACCAACATATTAATATCTTTATAACACTATTTTCATTTTGGCAATAACATGTAAGAGCGCCCAAGGGAACCTCAGTCCACTATCACTAGCCAACCTCAGTCAGCCAGCTACTTGGGGGTTGTCAATATGTCACGTTACTATTTCAATAATCGGAACATATTCTAGCTCTTGGTTCAAGGGCACCCGAGGGAACCTCAGTCCACTATCACTATCCAACCTCGGTCAGCCAGCTACTCGGGGGTTGTCAATACGTCATGTTATTGTCTTAGTGACCAGAACGCATTCTAGCCCTTGGACACATGAAATTGCCCAATCTCAAGTAGTAAACACTTAACTTCAAAACTTTCTAAACAACGTTTAGCATACTCGTTATCTACGGGCATTCTTTCCAGTGCTATTCTGTATTCTGAGTGCTCACATGTTTTGTTATATGAAAAATCATCTTGTTTTCTTCTGTAATGTAAATAGCCTAGTAACGACCATTTTCTTGACTCAGTTTGTTTGAAATAATCCATAGTGTCTTAGTACACGTCCTCTTTCTGCTGGTCTAGGTCTGATCTCACTAAGAGATTTATTTGCTTGGTTTATATTCTTCGACTGGTTTGTCGTTCCAGGCACTGCCAACTTTAAACGATGCTTACGAATGGTTCACTAAGAACTTGTTATTAAGGGGTCAGTTAAAGCCAGGCGTGTTTAGTATAAATTTGGAAATGATCTGCATTCTGCAGAAATTATATTCTTGATATTTATATAAATTATTAACCATTAATACATCAAAAAAGTAACCCTAATTGCATCAAAAAAGTAATTCTAATGTTACGTCAAAATGTCATAATTAGCTTTTTAGTACTAGCGCTATTACGAAAATACGTAATAATTATCTTTTCTACTTTAGACTTTTGCACATAATTACATGATTTTCTTAACTTATTCGAGTTTAATGGAATAATTTGAATAATTTTGCTCAATCGAAATACACTGGCGATCATAAGTAGTGCAACAAAAAAAATTTTTTACTTAGATCGCATTATTTCCCGCAATTCTGGGTGTA